TATCTATCTATCTATCTATCTATCTATCTATCTATCTATCTATCTATTGAAGAAATATGTGGTTTATATATAGCCTTTGGCAACCAACAAGACAACAAACAGGATGCCTTCCACAATCCCGTGACATGCAAGTTCAGACAGAATTTTGAAAAATATGTTTTTCTCCAATATGATACAAGAGCAATTATCAAGATTGCTACAAGCTTGGCACAAGTCGAGATAGGGAATCCAATCACAAGTAAGAGATGCAAGGAGAAAAGATAAGAGACCTGGTGATGGGAAGCTTGAGAGATCTGAGGCTTAAAAAGTTGTTCTCAGAATTTGCTCTCAGGGAGTGAGGCCAATAAGTCAACCATACTGATGTTCCACTCAGTATGCAACTATGGCAGTTTTCTTCTTGGCATTGGCTGGTTGCCTTTGTTCTTGTCAAATTTCTCAGATCTACCAGGTTCTGCTCTCTTTGAGACTGTCACTGGTGAAGTCAAGGCATCCTGGGGGCTTACTGGAACTGACTCAACCAGAGTGTACTCATTGACTCTGCAATTAAAATTATCATAGCCAACACTATTGTCTCTAGAGCCTTTAACTTTACTTCTTCCTCGTCCTCCTCATCAGATAATATGACCAGCAGATCTATAGCAACTTTGATATCAAACATGGCAGATTACAGAGTCAGATGCCCAAGGCAACAAGCTAGTTTAGACCATCCAGGCCATTAGTTACAGAAATGTCAAAGGACCAAGGGGGGAAGGAAAGTCAGTCAAAGGGCCACAAAGGGGCAGGTGTACATGAGGGGAAAGTGGGAGGAGGGAATGACAGCTTGATGAAGAACAGTGGAGCTCGGAGTGTTTGTGCCAGCACTCAAGGTCATACAGCCTGAGAAAGGATTTGGCTTAACCCAAATATCTCAGTGTTCTGAAAACACCTAGGTGAATCTTCATTGGCTGGAGGCAGACTGGTCATGGGTGGGGGGGAGAAATATCTTCATTGGCTGGAGGCAGACTGGCTGGGATGAGAGAAATATTTTTGCATGGGAACCTTAGTTCTCACCTGAACTTACTGCAGCCAGCATCTTTTAGTAAAAGAACTATCACTTCACTTTAGTTGAGGGTCTTTCTTTCCTGAGGAATCGGATTGGGACACATCTGACAATATGTCTCTGGCCTGTAAACAAACCATTCTCAACTCATAGAGTAGAAACAGTGCTGAATTCAGATACCTACAATAGTGGAAACTAATGATAGTGAGGGTGGATTAGAAAACTGTTGTCTCTAATCCAATTAACTAATCTAATTAATCTTATATAAGATTAATCCACAAGGCATTAATCTTATATCAGCCTGTATGAAGAGATAAATGCATAAACCAGGTGCATGCTAATATCCTGATTTCCATTCCCATAACAGTAACAAGGTGGGAACACTATGCTTGGGAGAAGACAAATGATTGGAGTATGGTTGAAATGAGGGCAGCTATAGCTCCAAATACACAATACCCTTTAGGTCATGTATGAAAAATGAAGCTGTTCCCTTTCAGCAACTCTAGCTCTCATGTTTCTTATAGGAAGATAATACCCTAATTTTATGGTGTGAAAAAAATTGCCAATCTGAAAGATTCTGAAATATAGGCTACAGAGGACAAAAGATTCCTTAAGTGAATCAGTCAAGAGGCAGTGGTGAAAACAGGGGTAAATTTGAATGGGGTACAAGACAATTCTAGTCCTGACTATATCATACGGAGGCAACAAGATTGCATTCTTGGGGGTCTCCACATGATCTAACCTATGCCTTGGATGGGATTGCCTTGGCTACTCATAATCTTGAATTATAAATCTGGGTGCTAAAGTATGTATTGGTTTCTTTATCAAAAACATCTGTGATAAAATGCAAGCAGTTTCTTACCTCAGGACTCTTAGGTTTCTCAGCTTTGTCAGTGATTTAAAGAAATGTTTCATATATCCTTCATCCAATGGCTTCCAGTCCTTTGGTAAATTAGCCAGACGTGAATGTACTCTTGTTGCAGAATTGGAAAAATAGTAGTACAAAAAGACCATATTGTAAATGAAATTATTATGGAGCTCTATATGCAGGAATTAAGAAATTAAGACTAAAATGGCATCCAAGACACACAAAAATGTGAGAAATTTTAAGGAGTCCCAAGTAACAGGACATGGATGTGAGAATAGTTTGCACAGGTTGTCTACCCATGCATGTGTGCATACCATGTATATTCCTCTTCATACATATTTCTCTTCATTCACATCCAACGATTAAGTATTGCCTATAATTATAAACAAGTGGGACTGTCTAGATTGCTGCCTGAGTTTCATTTAATTTTCAGAAAATGTCTCTGCTCCAATTGGCTATTAGGAACCGTGGCCTTCTCCCCTCTGGTTACTGGTTATTGCCTCACATGCAATAACTTTGGTCAGTGGAGGGTTATCGTACAAAATCACTGAAAAGACTGGACATTTATTTTAAAAACAGATCACTAGTGGAACATGTAAAGGGGGAACTGCCTTTTTAAAGAAGGTGAAGTTGACAAGATATCAACTTCACCTGTGACACATATCCATTTCTTCTACAGGAGGTGACAAGAAAAATGGAAAAACTGGTGTTTTTTTTTCCTTTTATTAGTCCATCATGTCAATTACAAAGAGTAATGAATGGATGAGGGCTAGTAGAAAAGGTCTAATCAGGTGTTGTCCACCCACAAGTAATGGATCCATGCTTGTTTCCTTCACACTGTTATAATTTTATCAATCCTCAGGGTTAAAGGAGTGAACAGACAGATTATTAGCCAGAAAAGCAAGCAGGGAATCAGGCACTTGTGAGAGCTTGTGGGCCAATGAGCCAGACCAGATGAAGCCCAATAAAAATAACAAGGGATCACATTTTGACAGAGAGCATAATATATTGTTTTAAAAGGATATATAATGAGTGAGACACATCCCTAATCTAGCTATTGAAAGTTATTTATTCATATTCTAAAGAGGAATTTTTGACCCATATTTATATTTTGGAGAGTAGGTCTGAGAACAGCAGTGGGATTATTATAAATTGAATTAAATGCCCAAATGTTATAAATTTTCAAAAATACTTACTCATTTTTTGGAAGAAATAATTCATTATCTGCCTGATATAGAGATGTAGGGCTTCGAATACAGAGATACTCCAAATTCTGGCAATGTTGTAAACAATAGGCCAGGATCATCAATTCCATATCTGAGTTGCAGTGATAATTTATTTCAGTGATAGCAGATAGCGCTTTTCTTACAAAATTCTCATCTTGTGTCTCATATAAATAACTAAGTATTTCTTTTTCCAAATAGAAATGAATTCTTTTATTAAAGGAGTTATATAAATACAGTGTATGATTATCTTGCGTGATCCAATTTAGGTCGATCATATAAATTTTTCTGTTAATATTATTTTTTACCCACTCTAGTAATAAGTCTTTACTCTCTTCAGAAATTTGACATCTAAAATCTTTTTTCAAGTATTTCATTCTATTTTCTTCATTTAGAAAACCAAAGAGGAAGCGAAATCCTACTGCAAAAACAGACTCAAAATATATTCTATGCCTTTGTAAAAATGTCCGCAAATTTCTATTTGGGTTTTGAGAATGCCACTTCTTTCTACCTTTTAGAACATAAAACAAAGCAGCAAAAAACTCCTGGAAGCTTAAGTGAATGAAACTGAAGGTTTGAATACAGTGAATGTCCCTTTTGAAGATGTTCTGATTCAGAAAGAGGGAGAGGGATTGTTCCTGATCCAAACTGTGCTTCTTGACTTCTTCTTCCATAAACAGTATTTGTTGTTTCCCGATGCCTTCTGCAGCCAAAGAGCAGAAGCTTTTCAACTTTCTTTGGACATTCTCTTTGGATTCTTTATGGTGAAACTTTAACAAACTGGAGAGATACAGCATATATATTGCAGTAAGAGTGCATGGTGTCTTCTGAAGATCCTTGCCTCTCTCCATCTCTTGTTTTATCACTGTGCAGATGATCTAGCTCACAAGGGGAATGCCACACATGGTGAAAAGTGTATCATTTCGTTTCACAAATCTGAAAGCTTGAGTTGCTTGGTCTTTATTTTCGTCTCCAAAAAATTTGTAGAAATATTCTTCCCTTCCCTTTCTAGAAAACCCCAATATCTGAAAAAAGCGTGGATGTTCTAAAAGTCGATGGAGTTGTCTTGTCTGTTTTGTGATCTCTCTCTCTCTCTCTCTCTCTCTCTCTCTCTCTCTCTCTCACACACACACACACACACACACACAC